AGGGGTTACAATTACATGGGCAAGATATTGAGTACATTTCTTATTAAGCATTGTAGCCTCCTCCCTTGTTTCCCCTTCCCATCTCTTCCCTTCCTCCCCACCCCCCTCCTACCCAATCCGCCCCCACCCCAAAGTTGTAAAGTTCGTTTTTCTTTTTCTTTTTTTTTTTTTAAATTTTATTTTATTTGTGAACATACTGTACAGAGGGGTTACAATTACATGGGCAGGATAATGCATACATTTCTTACCAAGCATTGCAGCCTCCTCCTTTGTTTACCCTTCACCTCCCTTCCCAGCCTCCCCCCTCCCCCCACCAATCCTTCCCCCCCTCTCCTCCCCCACCGACATTGTAAAGCTCGTTTTTGACATGACAATTTGTACTTCTCATTGTTGCAACAGGTCTACCTGAATCCTTAAACGACTTGTTTTTCCCCATCTCCTCCACAAGTTATACTGACATCAAATATATTGAAAGCGGGGGGGGGGGGGGGGGGGGGGGGGGGGGGGGGGGGGGGGGGGGGGGGGGGGGGGGGGGTTATACTGTGGGGGAGGGACATACAAAGCAACAAAGAAATAATCTTATAAATGCGTTAGAAACACATGCATGAAAGAAAAAAACATTAAAATACCTATCTAAGGGTTCATTTTCCTAACATCACATTATCTGACTTTCCGCTTGACTCATACATATACTAGATATTGCAAATAAGGGAAACCATGGGACCTGTGTTTCTTTGTGCCTGGCTTACTTCACTTAATATAATTTTTTCCAAGTTTTTCCATTTCCTAACAAATGGGGCAATGTCATTCTTTCTGATGGAGGCATAGAATTCCATTGTGTATATATACCACATTTTCTTGATCCATTCATCTACTGAAGGGCATCTGGGTTGGTTCCATATCTTAGCTATGGTAAATAATGCTTCAATAAACATAGTTGTGCTGGTAGCTTTAATGTGGTCTTGTTTGTAAACATTTGGGTAAATGCCCAAAAGTGGGATTGCTGGGTCATAGGGGAGCTCTATCTGTATGTGAAGTCTTTTGAGGAACCTCCATACTGCTTTCCAAAATGGTTGACAAGTTTACATTCCCACCAACAATGAAGTAAGGTTCCCTTCTGTCCACATCCCCTCCAGCATCTGTTGTTGTTAGAGTTCTTGATTTTTGCCATTCTAACTGGGGTGAGGTGGTATCTCAATGTTGCTTTCATTTGCATTTCTTTTATGGCTAGGGATGTTAAGCATTTCTTCATGTGTCTATTGGCCATCCTTCTTTCTTCTTCAGAGAAGTTTCTCTTTAAGTCTTTAGCCCACTTATTTATTGGGCAGTTGTTTCTTTGAGGATTTGTTATTGCGGGATTTAATTTTTTTTTTTAAATTTTTTTTTTGAGTCTGGTCATGGGGCCTGAACTCTAGGCCTGGGGCGCTGTCCCTCAGCTCTTCAGCTCAAGGCTAGCGCTCTACCACTTGAGCCACAGTGCCACTTTCGGCTTTTTTCTTTTTGCTTATGTGGTGCTGAGGAATCGAACCCAGGGCCTCATGCATGCAAGGCAAGCACTCTACCACTGAGCCACCTTCCCAGCCCCAAGGGGGGGCGATTTAATTTTTTGAGTTCCAAGTATATTTTAGATATGAGACCCTTGTCCGTTGTATGGCTAGTGAAGATCTTCTCCCAATCTGTGGGCTTTCTATTGATCTTGCTAGCTATGTCGTTTGCCATGCAGAAGCTCTGCAACTTTATGCAATCCCATTTGTTCAACCTTTCTTTGATTTGTTGTGTTTCCGGGTCTCTATTCAGAAAATTTCAGCCTGAGCCAAGGAGACCTAGGGTTTCTCCTATTCCATCCTGTAATGTTTTCAGAGTGTCTGCTTTGACTTCGAGGTCTTTGATCCATTTGGAGTTGATTCTGGTGCAGGGTGATATATAAGGATCTAGCTTTAGTTTTCTACATGTAGTTACCCAATTTTGCCAGCACCATTTACTGAAGAGGCTGTCTTTCTTCCATTCTATTGTTTTAGCTCCCTTATCGAAGATTAGATGGCGATAGGTCTGTAGGTTCATTTCTGGGTTTTCAATTCTATTCCATTGGTCCTGAGGTCTGTTCTTATGCCAATACCTAAAGTTCGTTTTTCGACATAACAACTTGTACATCTCATTGTTGCAATGGGTCCACCTGTATCCCTATTTAAACGATTTGTTTTTTTCCCTTCCCCTCCACAAATTATACCAACATCAAATACAGTGAAAGCAGGGGTTATACCATGGGGAAGGGACATACAAAAGCAACAAAGAAATAATCTTATAAATATGTTAGAAACAATTGCATGAAAGAAAAAAAAATTGAGCAACTCCGCCATTCGTAATAGCTCCACAAAAAATAAAATACCTAGGATTTAACCAAAGAAGTGAAGGACCTCTATGATGGAAACTTTAAAAACCTGAAAAAGGAAATCAAAACAGAACTTAGAAAGTGGCAAAGACTCACATACTCCCGGATTGAAAGGATCAACATCGAGAAAATGGCAATACTTCCCAAGGCTATCTACAAATTCAATGTGATACCTATCAATATTCCAACCTCATTCTTCAAGGAAATAGAAGAGGCAATCCAAAAATTCATATGGAACAATAAAAGACCCCGAATAGCACAAACGATCCTCAACAGAAAGAACAGTGCTGGAGGAATATCAATACCAAATTTCAAACTCCTACTACAAAGCCATAGTAATCAAAATAGCTTAGAAATTAGTTTCTGCATTACAGTGATTAAATATTTCTTTGTAACCTTTGTGTGATTTCTTTGTGACTTCTTGTGTGATAGTTGACTATGGATTTTGTAGTTAGACCCCCATGAAGGATATATTAAGTGACCGAGACACGTTGGATTTTATTTTTTCACTTGTCACACGGGATGATAATTCTTTTTTCCTGAAAGATGTTAATGAAGGTAAAATAAGATAATCTTTATATAGCCTGGCACTAGATGGATACATAGTAAGAGGCCAAGTACATCTGGTGATGGCTGGTGAGACTTTTGGAGTCTTCATTGACTGAAATAAGCCAAACGAGTCTACTCATTGGCTTTAGGGAGTGGCACAGGAAGTAGCAAACAAGTATAAAACAGCCAAACTCAAGTTCCCTTGAATTCATTGCTTTATTTAAAAATTTTTTATTGTTACTATAAGGAGAGCTTACAATTACATAAGTCAGAATGTCACCTCTTCCCTCACTCTCCCATTTTTCCTCCCACCCCCACCCACAAGTTGTATAGTTCATTTTCAACATACTGTCCAGTATCATTGTGGCATTTGTTCATGCTTTCTCCCTCCATTTCTGTGCCTTTCTTTATACTCTGAAACACATATACCCTAACAAACAATATGAAGAAAAAAATACCATAAAAATCACATCCTGTTTTCATTTCCTGGAGTTCATTTTGATAAGGATTATTTTATATGACATTGTGCCTTTGTGTTCCTATTATAAGATTATCCTCCTTTGGTCTCACTGTGTGTGAATGCCTAGAGGCACTGCTTTATTTTTGCTTTCTAACAGTCATCTTACATTTATTGAGAGGTAGGAAACATTTTACAAAGAAAACTAGTTCTCTGAACTCAGCTCTTGATGTGTCTTTACTTCTGTTTTGTCATTTTTTCCAAGTTCTGTGTCCATCTAGTGGTATGAAAACTGATTTTTAATTTAATTTTATCGTAAAGGTAATATACAGAGGGCTTACGGTTACATAAGTAAGTTACATATGTATGGAACATTGTTACCCCCTCCCTCTTTTTTCTCCCACTTTCCCTAAGTTGTAATGTTCATTCTAACATAGCATCTTGTATCACTGTTGCATTGATTTGCTCTTTGTCCTTTGTCTCACAATTTTGTTATTCTTCCCTTCCCCAAATCAGATAAATGTATATACAAGATACAGATTATCAAAATAAAAAACAATGGATAAATAGTGGATAAACAAAGAAAAAAAGAAAAAAAAAGCTTCACACAGTATATTAACAACAACAAACCTCTTGTTTCCATATCTTGGAGTTCATTTCAATTAGCATCATTTTATGTGATTATATGTACATAGCTATTGGGCTATTGTGATCCTCTGCTAGGACTATCCTAGACATATATTAATTATTACAAACGGGAAACCATGGATTCTATGTTTCCTGGAATCTGGTTTACTTCACTTAAAATGATTTTTTTCCAAGTCTTTCCATTTCCTTATGAATGGGGCAATGTCATTCTTTCTGGTGGAAGCGTGTGTGTGTGTGTGTGTGTGTGTGTGTGTGTGTGTGTGTGTGTGTGTATCTATGTGTGTCTGTGTATACCACATTTTCTTGATCCATTCTTTTACTGAAGGGCATCTGGGTTGGTTCCATATTTTAACTATTATAAATAATGCTGCAACGAACATAGTTGTGCTGGTAGCTTTAATGTGGCCTCAAAAAAATTGAACCCCTCCAATAAAAAATCCTAAAGAAACAACCATCCCGTTAATAAGTGTGCTAGGATTACAGACGTGACCCACAGGCGCCTGGCTTACTTTATATTTCGAACTGCAAGTTTTACTGCTGTCTTTTAGGTGCTGATGATTCCTGACACTGACAAAGACTTTGAATTTGGAAACATACTAAGTTGTTGCTTGAACGACTTCGGAGTTTGTTTTTAATTTTTGCTATTTTATGTTAAGGCTTAGCATAGTTGACTCTGTTCATTATACTTTCTTTTCATGCACTACTGCTTTGAATGTAACATATCACATTAATATTTGACATACAATTTATGTATTTTATTAGTGTAATTTCTTTTTTTGGGGGGGGGGGTCCGGTCATGGGGCCTGAACTCTGGGCCTGGGCGCTGTTCCTCAGCTCTTCAGGTCAAGGCTAGCGCTCTACCACTGAGCCACCTTCCCAGCCCCAGTGTAATTTCTTATAGTACATTTTGCTGCATCTAAATCATGAAGGCACAGAAGATATGACTTGTTTAAACTTTCAGGAGGTTATTTTCTTAATCAGAATTTTTTGTAAGACATTTTTTACTTCCTTATTTCTCAGGCTATAAATGAAAGGATTCAGTAAGGGGACTATAATTGTAAACAGAATAGCAGCAGGTATGTCTTTATCTCCTTCTTCTAGTAAATTGGGCCTAATGTACAGGAAGAAAATAGATCCATAGTATAGTGACACAGACAAGAAGTGAGAGGCACAGGTAGAAAAAGCTTTGATCCTTCCCTCTTTGGACTTCATTTTGAAAATTGTAAAAAGAATGTAAAGATAAGAAATTAAAACACTACCTATTGTGAAGACTTGAATTAAGCCAGAAAAGACAAATAGCGCAAGTTCATTGATGTAGGGGTCAACACAGGAGAGTCTATACAAGGGAAGAATGTCACAGTAGAAGTGATTGATGCGATTAGATTTACAGAAAGCTAATCTAAATAGTAGCCCTACATGAATCATAGAATGGAGATTTCCAGCTATGTAGGCTCCTGTGATCATCTGAGTGCAGAGTTTCTTAGACATCCTAGTGTGGTACTGCAGTGGGCTACAAATGGCCACATAGCGGTCATAGGCCATTGCTGCCAGAAGAAAGCAGTCTGCAGTTTCAACTGTGCAAAGAAAATAGAATTGTGCAATACATTCATAAAATGAAATCCTTTTGTCTTCAGAAAGCAAATTCTCTAACATCTTGGGGGTAATGGCACAAGCACAGCAGGAATCCACAAATGCTAGGTTACCTAAAAATATGTACATTGGTGTGTGAAGAGACCGTTCTTTTGAAATAAGTATCATCAGTCCAATATTCCCTAACATGGTGATCAAATAGATGACAAGGAACACCACAAACAGAAGGTTCTTCAGGTCTGGGTGGTCTGTAAGCCCCGTGAGGATAAACTCGCTTTGAATGCTTCGATTTTCTTCAACCATTTTCAAATTTTCTGAAATTTTTTTTGAGAAGTTAGGAATATATCACATCCCCACACATTATTAATCTCTCTGTTTCAAGGGGAGATAAACTATAACATTTCTATAAGTGTGCATGGATTTAGTGTATGTTCAATTCTGAGAGACAATCAACCTTCTTAGAACATTACATTTTTAAAATTTTGTATGCTGGGAATCAGTCCCAGGACCTCGTGCATTCTAGGCAGTTGGTCTATCAATGAGCAATATCCTCAGTCTCTGAGGCTATATTATTTGTTCTCTATACATTTTTTAAAGCATATTTGCAAGGAGGTCTTGAAAACATCAAACTTTTTTGTGAGATATATTAGGACAAAATTTCTCCATAGAGTTTAGGTTGAACTGATTTATAATTTAGATGTCACCTACGACTATCGTACTTACCTGAACAAGTTCAATGACTATAAATGTAGTGGCTAAGACTCTGTGAAATAATATTGTTGCACATCTGTGATCATCACAGCCTTGTACACAATACCTCAGAGATGGAAACAATCTGAATGTCAAAGGAAAAACTGAATGGATAACATATGACCCGTAAAATGCAATAATATTCACTGAATAAGAAAAGAATAAAAATTTGACACATAATGACACATAATAGTGATCTTTGTAGTAAAATGTAAGTGCGTCTAATGCCATTAAATTCATAGTAAAATATAGCTTAAAAGGTAAAAATATATTATGTTCTAGCTAATGCAATAAACAAATGGCAGTCCTGGGCTTTGAATTCAGGGTCCTTTTTTTTTTTTTTTGCAAACCTCTATTACTTGAGTTTGTTTTTTATACAGGGCCTTAAATTTTGCTGGTTTTGGACTACAACTCATCTACCTCTGTTTCTGCAGGGGCTGGGATTATAGTGATATGGCACTGCACCTCGTTATTTGATAAAATAGAATCTCACTAGTTTTATATAGTACTCAAACTACTCAAATCACAATCTTTTTTTCTGCCTTTCAAAGGAATTGCAGGCATGCAGTCTTATGCCTGGCATAAGAAAAAGACTTAAAAGATGATTTTAATTTACATGTTATTGGTAGTTTTCTATATATTTGCATTCGCCCTAAACATGTAACAATCAATGCCCTATGGAGGAGGGTGAATACTTGTGCAGTATTTGTCATGAGGGACAGACAGAGAATGGAAGCAGGGAGAATAAGAGAATAAGGAAAAGGCAAAACCCTTTCTATAATACTGCCTATATAAGCAACGACATTTATTCATACGTTCAGGTGTATAAAGAAATGTAAATGCTATTAAAGAAATGTGGGAAATCATAAGGGTTAAAATGGATAAATTTGTATGCATGTACATGTACATATATAGCAAAATCTTGAATAAAATTAAATACCAAACAAAAATAGAGATTAATAAATAGTATTAAATAAATAAATGTTAATTTTCTCTATTTTCTTTCTGTGAAAAACACTTCCAGGAAGAATAATTTCTATGAAACATGTATATGATTTGAACTGAAAACAATTTTGGGCCTATTTATTTTTCCTATTAAAAAGAAATGATTACATTTGATGCTTTCTACAGTGTAGTAAAATAGAAACAATACACTGTGGCTTTAAATTGGTTAGAATAATTAAAAAATCATTTAGTGTTGGATTAATGAAGCTCTTAAATTTGTACACTGACTAATAATGATCTGTCAGAGAGAAGTATTAGAATCTCATGTAAAGGTTTACATGTAATGATTTCCACTGTAATTTTACTAACAATGCTGAAAAATGCAAATACCTAAATAGTATGGTCACCTATATATGACATTATATTTGTGCAAACATTAAAAATGATATGCACAAAGAGGCGCTGGTGACTCATGCCTGAAATCCTAGCTACTCAGGAGGCTGAGATCTGAGGATCTCAGTTCAAAGCCAGCCTGGGCAGGAAAAGTCTGTGAGACTCTTATCTCCAATAAACCACCAGAAAACCAGAAGTGGCGCTGTTGCTCAAGTGGTAGAGCTTTAGCCTTGAGCTGAGAGCTGAGGGACAGCGCTCTGGCCCAGAGTTCAAGCCATATGACTGACAAAGAAAAAAAAAAGATATTCACCTAGTATATATGTTGCAATGATAAAATATGTGAAAAACAAAAAGTTTATTGTGAAGAACAATTCTAATTTATAATATATATGTATATAAAACTATAAAATAAATATAACATGGAAACATCAAAATGTCACTAGTTTTCTCTGTGTAATGAAAACCATAGGTTATTTTTTCTATTTTCTTCTATTTCAATTCTTTAAACATTTTTTAATATATATTTTATTGTAAAGATACTGTACGGAGGGGTTACAGTTACATGAGCAAGGTAATAAGTCCATTTCCTATGGAGCATTGTTACCCCCTCCTTTGTTTTCCCCCTACCATCCCTTCTTTACAATGATTATTATGTTTAGAATTAGGACATAGGAAGTCAAATGAAGGTTGTTTGGTCTGACAAATTAATGTAATCACTGTTGACCTAACTAAATACTTCTATACTTTATGGTTCTAAAGTGAATGAAGTAAAAATGATTTTATTGAGGATGCATTTGTTGTGGTAATGTCCTATAAGTTAGAAAATATGAGAATTTACTAATAATATTGCATATATCTTAACTCATTTATTAATATGCAACATTATAATACATTCTTGAAGTTACTTGCTTCTGAAGAAAATATTTTTTCTATGTCAACTCTCAGATATCAAAGATCAAGACATTCTTACTTTTTATGTTATTCACATTTATTAGAATTTCAGAATATTTTAAATCTTCCTTTTTCTATATTTAGACATGTGCCTGATGAAGAATTTCTACTTTGGGAACATATTATTTCCATATAAATTTGTCTATTTTTCTTATTTTGGGATTCATTTACTTACTGGTCAGATAGTTTTTTGAATATCTGCTCAGGTTTAAGGGTTTTTTTTGTTGTTGCTTGTTTGTTTGTCAGTGGTGGGGCCTGAACTCTGGGCCTAGGTGCTGTCCCTCAGCTCTTCAGCTCAAGGCTAGCACTCTACCACTGGAGCCATAGCACCGCTTCTGGCTTTTTCTGCTATGTGGTGCTGAGGAATCCAATCCAGGGCTTCATGCATGCAAGGCAAGCGCTCTTCCACTGAGCCACCTTCCCAGCCCCTCTGGTTTAAGTTTTATTCAGCCACTTGCCAATATGTTTAGACTAATAATTTTCTGAGAGTTATTGAGAACAACTATACTTTGAATTTGTGGAAGAGACATACTTTTTTTTTCTTCCTAGAAAACCCTTTTTTGTTTCTAGAAAATATGTATGACTTTTAAATCTCACATTACTTGGGGATGAAATCTATGTCATTTGAATACTTTTATACTATATGTATTGAAGTCATATAACATAATACAACTTTAAAACACCAATTTTCCCAGTTGATAATGATTTATGGAACAAATTTTGCCTTGCATTTTATTTTTCTGAGAATCAGAGAAGAACTGGAGTCTTCCCTAAAATTGTAATGAGTCAAAAGCTTGATTAATTTACAGTATTCTCATACAATTTGTTTAATACATAAGTTGGAATGTCCTGTACAAAAAACCCAATGTATATTTAATTAGAGAGACTAATAATCTATTTCATCAGGTTGAAAGTTTTATGGCAAAAAACTTTCATACTATACATGTATTTTGTTACTAGTCCAAGAGTGTGCTTCCATCTATCTATCACATATCTATCTACCTTTCTATCTATCTATCTTTGGTAAATTTAAGCTCAGGAACTCAGAAGTCATACAAATAATGTATTACTTTCTAGTGTTTGCACAATAGACATTAAAAGGATGACTTCAAGGATCTAAAAAGTTGAAAAATTAGCTTGGTAATTTCAGGGACACTGAATCACCTAAGCAAGTTAGAGAAATAATACTTAAGAATATTTATTAATAGTTTTAGCAAAAACACAATGTAAATTCTATCTCACCTGTTTTTCCCAACGAGACTTGAATAGAAGCCAGTTGTTGTACTGATTTGGGAAATTAAAGCAGGTCCAGCAGTAAAACTCTATTCTCTTTATCATTTGGAAGACTATTTTTGCACAGCAATCAGTGATGATATGCATGGTATTTGTAAAGAATAGATCACATATATTCAAAATAATTCTAAGGGGAATAACTTGGCATTGACATTAGAACTTGGCCTGGGAGACCCAATCTTTTGAATATGGAAGACAAACTAAATCAGAATAATTAAATGTGTCCTTTGAGAACTGGAGAGTAAGTCATACACTCATTTCTAAACAAATTCTAAAGACCATGATTTAAAAAAATTTTTCTTGGAGTTGTTACCTTTTATTCTTGTCACTAAACTATCAGGTGATAATAAAAAAATTCCCACAAGATTTGTTGGTGAAGTCTAAAAATTTGGAAAGAGTTATGATTAGTTGGCTCAGAGAGGAGAAGGTATTGTACAAAGATTGGAAAGTCATAACAATTTCATTTTTATATCAAAGTGAAATTTCTAGAATCTCAAAATATAATATCTCAATTGTGTAATACCTTTAATCTTCTACCTTATTTGCTAAAATAATTAAATTTTAAATGCAAATGTACACATAGCTTCTTGAAAGCTTCCTTTTCTCACAATCCTTTCTTATTTGTATCCTCAACATTTATAAGTTTCTTGACTTCTTAGCATCCATTAATAACAAGTCTCAATTTGGTTGGCTAATCACAAATACTTGAGATGATCAATTTATGAAGAGACAAGATATATTTTGGCTCACAGTTTTGTAGGTTTAGTTATCACTGACTGGCCTTGTTCCTTTGTGTCTATGGTGATGTAAACCATCATGGCAGAAAGCCTAACTATAAAATCTCTCACCTCACGTGGTGGATGGCAGTATTTGGAAGGGGTATGATCTATCTTCAACACTATTTCCACAAGATCTGAAGACCTTATACCAGGGCCCACCTTTTAAAGGTTTTACCACTCCTCACAACAACA